TCGAGGGGGTTAATTATTCCACCCTTTCTCGATTAAAATATCCTCTCCGGTATTTCCAATTTTCTTTTCTCTCTTTTTTTTTTTTTTTCAAATTTCCACCCTTTAAAAGTCGAGAAAGTCAGTCATCTCATAAATATAGATTCGTGTAGATTTTCTTCGACTCTGTTGCGTCGTTCGACAAGAAGGACGTGAACGAACGAGATGAATTTTAAAGTGATGATTTCGTAATGTAAGTTATTTTCGAAATCCTGATGGATGGAATATTTTAACGAAAGGGGGGGGCAAGTGTCATCGGGACATATTCAAGATAATTACACGATTAGTGCGAGATTCTAAATATGGAAAAAACCTCCCTCCCCGCGTCCCTCGTAGGCGGATGTTGGTGGTTGGTTCACACATTCAACACGTAGTATAAAAAACAGTTTTTCTCTCAGTCTTATTGTAGTTCTTTTTTTTTTTTTCTTTTTTTTTTCCTTTCTTTCTTTAGTGCAAAAAGCATTAGCGCGTGTATAATTCCTCGAGGATCGCGAATGAATCGAACTAGACGTGTAGATCGTCTAACGAGTTGTTACGAGAATACGAGAAATTTTGTTTCGTTCGAACTCGAAGATCGGTTTGTCGTTTCCTACTTGTTCCAATGATGTATAGATATTATAAAAAGTGTTGTCCGCCCTCTTCTTCCCTCTTCGAATTCAAAATGGATTATAAATATTACAAGGAATGTGAGTGTAAGTATCAAGAATTTCGTTCTCGATGATTCTGAAAGACTAATTTGTATATCTCTTTCGACACGACAGTTTTTTTTTATTATTCGCAGTCTAGGAAAATCGTGGAAAAAACGACGATTCGCGGGAGAATTATTTTCGGTTTTAATTATTTACAAAAAGACACCACCCTTTCGACGATTTCTTTTAAAAAGATTCTCGTCGTTCTTGTGAATAGCGAGGATTGATTTCACTTCGTTCGTTATCAAACAACAAAATCGAACAAACAATTCATCGCCACGGACAATTGACGATCTTGAATCAACTAATTGATATTTTCGTTTGATATCTAATCCGTGGTTTAAATTAATTAGAATCAATATTAATCGATGTTAAATACCAAAGATCCAGGCTTAAGACTTTTTTTAAGTAACAAGTAAAATCTTCCCGATATTCTTTAACGAAGAAAATCACGAGAACGGTGTCTTTTTCCAAACGTATATTTCCACGTCGATCGTCGAAGCGTTTAACAACTATTTTGCTTTTCCATCGCAAAAAGGGGTTACTTTGTAAACGTATACAAATTTCGGGACGCTGTATATCTATGTATGTGTGTGTGTGTTTATATATATATATATATAATACGAGTATCAAAATTTCGAAAACACCTCCCTCTCGTCTATATCCCCTCCCCTATCTTATTCACGCCGGAATCGAAGGCGAAAGAAAGAAAAAACAGGAACGGTAGAAAGTTTACCGTACACTCTCCATCTTATTCCTCTTTCTTCGCCCACATTCGAGGCCGCGATCTCTCCACGTCCTAGAATAACCCGTCCGCGAAAGAGTCGTTTTACTACTGACCGAAGTAGAGAAAGCAGTGTCGGTACGGACGATCGAGTAAACGGTCAAATGGAACGGAATAGAAAAGAACGTTTGTTCCATTGGGCGAGAAAGGAAATCATCTTCTCTCCGGGGAAAAGGTTTTTCTTTTCTCTTCAAACAGGCGGAAGAGAAAACGGCGTGTTCCGTTTTATTCGCTCGCTCGCTCGGTAACAATGGCGAGTAAAAAGTCGGGGACGATTCACAAGGATGCGAGGGAAAAAGTGTTTTTCTTGCGACAAACGTTGTTTGAATTTTCCCTCCAAGATTTTTTTTTTTCTTTGCCTTAGTTTCCTTCTTTCCAACGTTTCTCATTCGATTGCTCGAGTGACGAGTGGCGATTTATATATGTATATATCTTCTTGAAGAATAAAGACGCGTGCGAATGAACGTAGAAGTCGTTGTAACGGAGAATTATTGTTACATAATTTATTGCATCATTTTGATATTCATATTCGATTTAATGTAGATATATCTAGAAAGACGTTTTATTACAAAAAATTACATTAGATTCTCTGAATCGAGAGAAATACAATTTTCCAACAATTTGTATCTTGATTCTACAAGATTGTATTGGAGTGTATCATTGCTCGCTTACGTGCACGATGATATCGAGATATATTTTTTTTTTTCTTTCATCTATCTCAAATAATTGAAAAAATAAATCTCGGAAAGAGATTCTTTTTCCCTCGAGAAGGTCTCTTTCCCTTTAGAAAAGGTTAACTAACCGGATACAAAGTGATGGAAGAAATTTGAAGATAAATTCTCGGTCGGTAAAATCGTAGAAACGAACAATGATGAAAAGCGTTGGGAAAGAAGAAAACTGTGGGTGCGATCGCGCAAAAAAAAAAAAGAAAAAACAGCGAATCGTTTCTGGTGAACGACTTTCGAACGTTGAACGGATCCTTCCACTCTTTTCCTAACCGGTGTGCGCGCTCTTCCTTTCTCTCTTTTTCCTCGCACTCTCTCCACAGCTTTCTCGACACTTTTACGTTACTTCATTCTCTCCCCCTCTTTCACTCTCATTCTCCCCCTCATCCTCCTCCTCCATTCACTCTCCCCCCGTAATCTCTCCGATCTAAAAAGAAAAGAAAAAAAAAAAAAAAAGAAAAATCGGTTTAAATAGAAAAAAGAAAGCGTTAAGATTGGATAAAATCGATTAGAGACATTGACACAGCCAAATCTTTGTTTCTAAAAAAACGTCTCTTTGCTTTACCTTCCCGTCTTTTCCCCCCTCCCTCCCCCATTTATCCCTCCTTTTAAACCCTTCAGATCCCCTCCTTTTAAACCCTACTTTTTTTTTCGTCAAGGAAGCAACCTTCGTTCACCACTCACCCACCCACCCACCCACCCTTTGTCGGTCGAACACCGAAACCAACTTGAACACTTGGTGGATATATTGCGTTTGTGCGTGCGCCGGACGAATCCCATCGCGCGATCCCGAGAGATCGTTCGATCTTCGCCACTTCTCCCTTGCTTTCGATACTCTCTTTCGATTCATTTGTTCCACAAATTTGTTCTATTCTAATTTCTCACGATTGGAGTTTCACAGTTTCTTCACGATGTGGCGGGATCGAGCGAGGATATGCAAGATCGTTGGTCGCGCGATGGCATCCCAAAATTCGTTTTAATTCGGATGGGAAAGGTAAAATGATACGCGTTCGCCGAGTCGTCCGGTTCGTCGCACATAATCGAAACGTAACTCGTTTGGCCGACTAAGAAAGACACACAAGCGTTTCCTCTCGATCGATCCTCACCGATCCACGTGTCAGCCATCCTAACTATATTTTTTCAATTGTCCTATTATTTAACGAACACTGGCTCTCCACCGATTTCTATAGGTATTCTCTACTGTGTGTGTGTGTATATGTGTGTGTGTATATAAATTTGAGTGTTTGCTCGTGGGGAGGAAAAGAGATTTTCAATCTCGACTCATCTCGTTTTTTCCTTTGAACTACAGAGTTGCGATTGCAACTCTCTCTCTCTCTCTCTCTTCCTTTTCTTTTTTTTTCGAACATGATGTCGATTTTGTTGGATCGTTTTGTAAAAAAAAAAAAAAATCTCTGAATGGAAATCATACGTGGTTTTTATTTTTTATCGTATCGTTTTCTTTCTTTTTTTTTTCTCCCCATCCTGTCGGTGCATGAATAAGATTAAAGGAAAAAGAAAAAAAAAAAAAAGAGAAAAGAAAAACGTCGTGTGCCTCCTCGTTCAGTCCGTGGTTTGTATGTACATACGATAATAATAATTAGAATAATAATAAAAATAATAATTACGATAGTTATAATAATAAAAATAATATTAATAATAGTAATAATGATAATAATAATTATTATAGTTTATATATATATATATATATAATATAATTTTCGTATGTATGTATATATATATATATATATATATATATAGAATTTCTATGTACACAAAGTAGCCAATGAATTTGTTACACCGCTCGATTAAATGTCTCAATTGGATCCCCATAANTTTTTTTTTTTTTTTTTTTTTTTTAAAAAGAAAAACATCACATAGATCTACGCCAGATACCAACAATATTCTTAATATCGATTTAAAGAGTCCCGGATCTTTCATAAACCACTTTAAGAACTTTCTCCGTATATAACCGTACGTTTATTTTTTCCGAGCATTTTTTTTTCTTCTTCTTTTTCTTTATTTCGAACTATTTTTATTCGTTAATATTCGTTAATATATATATACACGGCACGCGTGTAACGCAAACAATTAACCGCTATAAAACTTCTGATTTCTCTTACCCTCCTTAAAATTCATCACAAATTCATCCAAATTCTTTAAAATCTTTCCCAAAAAAAAAATTTTTTTTCTTTTTTCCCCCCATTCTCGCTATGCACACGTGTGCACTCCTCTCTCTTTTCGTCACACTTCTTCCCCCTCTTCGTTTTCTTTATCGCTTTCCTCTTTCTACAAATCGATCGAAAATTGGCAGCCTATGTTTATATATGTATGTATGTATATGTATATATGCGTATATGAACGGTCGTCTCTGTCTTTCTCTCTCTCTCTCTCTCTCTCTCTCTCTCTCTCTCTCTCTCTCTCTCTCTCACATACACGCATACACACTCTCTATCTCTCTCTATCTCTATCGCTCGCTCGATATAATCCCTCAACGCTGTTTTTACAGCGTCCAATAATAAAAAGTACTAAGTGGTAGAAGATGTAATTATCATAATCCATAGAATTAGCAGCAGCTCGTCCACCTTATCATCTAGGGGCGAGATATTATCGTCTTGGTAGCAAGGTAGAATCATGTTTCAGCGGTAATAAAAAGTAGAAAGTAAAACGTGGATAGTCGCTAAGAACGATTAAAAAAAAGTTTTCTTCTTATTTTCCTATTATTCTTCTCCCCTCCCTCCCCCCTTTTTCCCCCCCTTTCATTCCTCTTCACGCCTTCGAAGCGTTTGCACACTGAAGGCTGAAGTGAATTCGACACAGTATATAGAGATTTTCATTTCTCTCCACTCTCCTTCTCACTTTTTTCTTTATTTTATCTTTATCTTCTCATCTTCTCGTCTTCTTCGGTTCGAGAGTAGTATCGTACGTGGTAAGAAAAGATTCGTCGTCGTAAAAAATGCGTCTCGATCTGTGTTCGCGATCTCTTTCGGTCGATTTTTTTTTTCGATTCTTCCAAAAAACGAGAAAATTAAAAAAAAAAAAAAAAAGAGAAAAAGAACGAAGAAACAATTTCTCTCTCTCTCTCTCTCTCTCGTCATTTCCACACACGCTCGATCATCCCATTCACTCGAGAGTATCATCATGTACACGTGCACACTTTAAAAAACACAAAATACACGCGTATCTTTGCTCTATCTGTATTATATACCCTTGTTTCCGCGAGAAAAATTAAAAAGAAAAGAGTCTCCCTCCTCATTCACTCACTCGTCCATGCATTCTCCCATGCCATCTATGTTCATCTTACTCCACGCGACAGAGTGATATATATATATATATATATCTCTATCTATTTATCTATCTATCTATATATATATATATAAAATCTCTACGTGTACAATCTTATGTATATAGTCTTCGCCAAATCTCTTGGTGACGCGAGTTCTCCTCTCTCTCTCTCTCTCTCTTTCGTGGCCAGCCGCTAGCGGAAACGAGCGCAAAAAACTGCCCAAAATTCCTCGCTCCTTGTCAACCCTTTCGGCTCGTTTATAACCCCTCGTTTCGCTTAGGTCGCTGATTTCTTTTCTTTTCTTTTCTCTTCTTTTCTTTTCTTTCCCTGTCTGTCTGAGGTATATATATTCTATATCTTTCTGCGTGTATGATGCGGTGTACAATTATATAATAAAAAATAGTAGTAGTCCTAGCTCGATAATTAAGATATCAAAGAGTGGAGTATATTAGTCAGGTGGTCGTGAAAAGACGAATCCAAGAATTCATCCTCGAAATTCGCGTGTTTATCCCCCCCCCCTTCCCCTCCCCCTCTTCACTCGTGCATGCGGATATATAAATAGAATAGCGACTCCGTTTTCGTTATTCGAACGATCATCCTTGAACACCCTCATTCTCGAATCGTGAATGATCAAAAAAAAGAAAGGAAAAAAAGGTGCTTCGAGTAACGTTTATTAGGATTATCTTTTCATTACCACCCCCGAATTCCGCGTGTCAATCCTGGAAAAATAAATATCTCGGTCTCGAGTTTTCTCTCTCTCTCTCTCCCTCTCTCTCTCTCTGTCTCTCTATATATATATATATCTCGATCGATGCACACGAAACGAAGGGTGAAACGGAAGCTCGACGACGAAATCACGACGTTGACGAGGTTCCCGTTAGCGCGGCGAGGCCGTGACGACGTCCGTCGATCGCGGCCGATCCACCAGTATCGTACGGTGGATCGTGGCGGCAGTGGAAAGGCGGTTCTCATCGCGCGCCGTTTCACTTGGGCACGCGATAGTAGCGCAACACCAGGTAGCCCAGGGTGCGGAATATGACGAGGAACGCCAGGAGGACGGCCGTGTTAGCCCACAGTGGAAGACCGGAACCCCTTGCGCCGCCCTGGCTCTCGAGGATCGCCGAAACAGGTATCGTCGTGGCGTTCCTGCATTCCTGGAACTTGCTTGGCTGCGAGCATCTGCGGGAATTATCACAAGGTGGACGTTTCCGTGTCGATAAGTTAGGAAATCGAAAATTTCTAAAAAATTCGCGACGCGAATTTCTTGAACCGTACGCAGTTACCGTATAGTAGGGTTGAAAGTTAGGGTTAGGATCGAATTGGGGAGGGAAAGTTTTTATCAAAAATTCACAACGTGGTGTAGATTATTAAGTGTATTAAGCTTACGTGATCGGTTCGCCAACGCCGAATTCCAGGATTTGCATGTTCTGATAGGCGTAGTGCACCATACTCGCGTATCTTGCCCATGCCAACCACGGTGGGACAGCCGTCGCCAAATAACCGCCGAGCAATTGCGTGGCGAGGGTGTAAAGCGCGGACGCGGTTATGCTAACCTGCAGATCCAAACAGCATGCCCCAACGAAGAATCCCACGCTCTGCAATAAAAACAGACCGTTTCCGATTTTGTGACGATGATAATCAATTACAACTGGAATCGAATTGCATTCGAGACAATTAATCGATATTATTTTGCCAATCGAAGAAAATGAATATTGGATGGTAGAACTTTGAATTTCGTTTCGCCATTGCATAAATTGTATAAATCGACGAGGATAGTTCTTCGATTAAATATTCGATGATATATCATTGGATAATAATATAGCGAAAGGTAGACGGAGGGAAGGTTGTGTTCTCTCGATAACGCGTCATTTAAATTTGGTCGCGGTTGAACTTTAATCGGAAATCGACTCGATTTCGCGGCATTAAACACGGTCACGCGTTGTGAAACGCGCGAGTTACTCATTTCCGTCAATAGGTAGGTGGTTTTGAAAGTAAATCGTGGCCGCCTTTCATGTCACAACGCGACACGATTATAATACCGTGGCCCGTGGGTGGACAGTGTCGAGGGTTGGGTCGATCGTCGGAAACCGCGAAATTCCTGTTCCGTTTCCCTAAATCGCGACACTCTTATTTCTAATTTTTAATTTGAGAAATTGAATTCATATTTGTCTTAAGAGGAATTTATTCAATTAAATATCAATTATTTATATAATAAAGATCGATTAAATATAAATTGGCACGGTAACAGCTTCGTTTGTTTAACTGTAATTCTTTTATTATTAAATCAATCGAGAACTCGAACGCACAAGAGGCGAGGCATATTACTTCATTGATTAATTTTCGAAATAAAAAAGAAGGGAGAGGGATCACCGTGCGCGTTTTCAATCAGCGGAACCAGTTTATACCTTACAACCAAAAAAAAAAAAAAAAAGAAAAAAGAAAAGAAAAGAAATCTCGCGGATGGATGTCCTTGGAACCGAACCATTCTTTCGTTCGATCTTACCGACCGATCGAAAGGTAACTAGGGATGAGGAGGAGGGGTGTACCTGTGCGACGATGGTGTTGAGTAAGAGAAACGCCAGCAGGGTGACAAAAACTGCCGGACTGTGGAAGCCCAACATCGGGTAACTGATGATATGGTAGACAGCGGGCAACGTGATCGTAAGCGGCAACTCGCCGACCATTTTCGCCAAGTAATAGGCCGAGAGCCGATACGATCCTGAAAGCCGCTCCTTGTTGATCACCTCGCGTTCCGGAGGAACTGGAACAAAAATTTCGTTTTCGTTTCTTTTAATTCGTCGATTTCGAAAGTGATTCACTTTCAAGTTTTTGATATTTTTGTCATCGAATCAATTTGTATTGTACGTGGTAAAATCAATTGTATTGTACGTTGTTGTGTAAATGGCTTGATCGATTTGTCGGGCGAAAGTTGGAACGACGAGGAGATGTTTCGAAGCGTGGAAGAGGTTTCGATTTTTATATCGATTGTTGGTGAAACGATTCTTCGAATAAGCAGAGATCAAAGGGGGTATTTTCTTCTCTGTCGTCTCTCTCTCGAGGCTATGAAAGGATACATTCATGATACACACGAATATGAGTATTAGACCTTGATACACGAATGTATCGACGTTCGCAGTTTAATTGCCGGTTGAAGAGGCTAAACGAAGTATCGTAAGACAAGGAATTAAAGTATTATAAATATCGAGGTAATTATCATCGTTGAAAATCGAAACCCTCGAATAAGATATAAATAAAACTTCTTTGCAACATTTTTGTAACTCGTAAAATAATTGGAAAAAAAAAAGGAAAGAAATTATAAGAAATATAATGAAAAGTTTTATAGACGCGTATAATATATAGAAGAGATTCAACCTTCCAGTTGCAATTGATACTTGGAGGGGGGGAGAGAATAAAAAATAAAAAAAAGTCGGGATGAACGACTGAGAGATAGAAGGGAGAGAGGAGGACGCTAAAATCAGTTTTTACAGCTCTCTCGTCTCATTCTCAAGTTCGTTTTTAGTGTCTAGCCGCAGCCATTTCACTTTCTACCGGGGGATAAGGGACAATGACTGTAAAACGACGAACGTATGGCGAGGCTAGCCCCGCGACCGAGTCTATGGTCAAGTTATGCGCCTCCTAAAATAGTCTAGTGCCTATTAACTTTTCAATTTTATCGCTTAACCTTATCCTTTGTCCGTTTGTCACCTGAATTCTTCGCTCGTTCCTTTTCCTCGCGATCGTCCCTCCCCTCCGTTTTAATTAGGTGAAACAACTTTTACGACGTAATGTAATCTCGTAACATCGCTTTTATTACTCGTGGATCGATTGGATCGACTCGATAATATTGGAAACTGAACGATGGATATACGGATATTGGGTGATCTATGGATGATTTTTATGGAAAATTAAATTTTTTTTTTTTAATAATTTGAAACTAGTTAACACAATTTATTCGATGAAAAATTGGATAAATTTTCTCTTCGTCCCTAGGTGATTCTAAGAGGGAGTTTCGAGGTTGTACGTTTCATTTTTGCCGGCGAATTTCTAACTCGTTCTATACAGTCTGATTCCCCGTCTGAGATTCGTCACGGTCGTTTCGAGCTTGGAGCAACAGTCGACAAAAGGGCCTCAATTGCCGTGCCGGATTGTAAGTGGGTCACGGCACGACCTACATACTAACGTCTTGATTGACCGTTCCTCTGGTCCTTTGCAAATCTTTGCAATAAAAAAAAACGCGCGTTCGGCTGAATGGCCGATTCAGAGCGTCACGTCGTCGTCCCTCAATTAACCAATCTACCTCATATCTGAGACTCTACGTGTCTCTTGCGCAACCACGTGCACGGTGGCGTGCCCACCACTACCTGGCAAACTTTGGACCTCCTTTTCCCGTTCACCAGTTTTCAACGCTTTCTTGTAAAAAAAAGAAGAGAAATTTGAGATTTTAACGAGAGAAGTTTAAAAAACAAAAATTCTCAAAAATGATAAGAAATCCAGTATTTTAATTAAGATTATAATTGTGAGTACGAATGTACTCGAAGAATAAGAATAAAGATAGAAATAATTAAAATTATCACGTATATATCATTTGAATAAAATTTGAATAAAATTTTTGCTCGAATTTTAAAATTAAATTAAATATGGGACAAATAATAAAAGGAGGAGGAGGGGGAAGAAAAGATACTTACAACTGGAGAGTGCACCAAAGTGTGCGAACAGCATCCAGTACGTGGTGCTGAAGAACATCCATCCTTGGATGTCGTGAAGTGCCGCTTCGGTTCTGGGAAGTCTTAGCCACAACAGTCCAGCAAGCAGGCCGAGAGCTATCGTTTGAAGCCAGTTGAGACGAGACAGCATCCGAGGTCGTGCCTCTTGAAAGTTTCTTTCTGATAATACCTAAAATCAACCAAGGATAAATTCGTTTTAATCATTTGATATTACTTTTCCGAAAATCAGAAATTTCTTCCATCATTTCGAAGGTACATTCCTTATTCGTATCAAAGTAGCAAGGATTTCAATCGTATATCCAAGGCTATTAATAAATAAAATTTTCCTTGAGGAGTGTGAATCTTTAATAAATTCCAAAAAAAAAAAAAAAAAAAAGAAAGAAAAATTAACAATAATAAAAAGAGATCGCTCAATGGAAGTAAATGCAACAAGTAAATTTTCATTGGTTACATTGGAAATATCAAAGTTCACAATCTTAATCCCTGGTTGGCAGTCAAGGATCAAACAATTTTATAATTTTAAAAAGTCATCGGCGATTATTATTATATCTGCGAGAAGAAAAATTCCCTCCAACTTAAAATTATCACATTTTATCCTGTATCTTATCTCTGTATCCTCTTGAAGAAAAGAGAGAAAAAAAGAAACGAAAAATTATTATTAAAAAAAATTCAAGTACCAACATATAACGTATAACATTCAGCGTGGCCAAATTCGAGAAAAAAAAAAATTTCTTTCTTCAAAATGTCAAGGGAACAACGAGATCGTTCTAGATATCGCGGCGCGGTTGATGAGGTATTATCTTAAAAATTGAAGGAGGAGTTGTAAGGTTGAAAGAGAGATACACGGCTTGATTATTAATCGGCGTGCTCGCTATAACGCTGCCCCCGTGCTCGACAATGTCACAATGCAAGGTTGCTCGGTACACGTCTTTGGTGCAGTTCAATTATATCAAGCGGCCGTGAGGAAATAGAACGCAAAGTTTCACAATGCTGGTTTCGAAGGCCTCTTTGAACTGCAACTATATTACGCTGCTTAACCATGCGATCGACCACGGTTCGATATCGTTAATCGCTCAATTAAGCGATCCATAGATCCGACTGGCGTGCAGATTCACCAAGAAATAATCTTGGCTTCTCGTTCAACGATGACTAAAAATTGAAATATCATAAATTGCGGATTATTTTCATTATCTCGTATAAAATCGAAATCAAAAGCCTTTTAATCTCGACGCGAGTCGAAGGAGAAGAAATAAAAAAAAAAAAAAAAAGTTATTCGAAATTCCAATTACATCCTTCCCACAATTTTTTTGGGGATTTTCAAAAGAAAAATGACTTTCACCGTCGGAAAAAAATTCCTCGAATAGTTGAATCTGGTAAAAGTGATGCAAGTGGCGAGATGCGTTAGCACAAAGCGCGCCACAATCAACAGGCATACCGGTCGTTGTAATTATCCGGATATGGCGAATCGCGTAAACGCGGCCTAGTTCTCTTTTCTGCGTGCCGCGATCCTCTTTAAACCGAGAGCTCTCTTTCTTTCATCTCTTCCCTCCACGAAATCGCGCCCCTTTCTTTTCTTTTCTTAGCTTAGGGATAAATTGGTCGAGGATAAGATCGAAGATCTCTCGTTGATACTCGCGACTCCTCGTGATATTTGGTCTCAATTGGAAGGAATTTCTCGATTGTGAAAATCATGAAGTAGAATTCGATCGAAGTTGGACAATTTTCGAGAGGGATGAGAGATTTATTCAATATGGTCGATCGATTTTTCTTTTTATTGGAGGAAGAATGTAATTCGAAGTTGCTTTTTTTTCTTTGGATTTCTTGATTCTCGATTTTAAGGAAGAGCGAGATTTGGTATTTCATTGGAATTTTTCTGTTGGAAAATTTATTTGTGTCAAAATTTAATTTCGCGAAAAATAATTTATTGAGTTGATGAATCCTCTTCTTTTTGAAGTCAATTCCATTTTCATTATCATTTTGATAGAAGTGAGTGCTCTTTCGAGTATGTATTGGGAAATTGTTCCTAGAAATCGATTTCAAAACGAATTTATTGGTATCCTGATATAATTCTGATATTAATCGAAATCGATCGATAAAGATTTATCGAGTTTCGTTTAATTAATAAATTCCTTCGATATATCTTCCTCTCACGAGAATCTACAATTTGCTGATTTCATAAATTAATGTATGCAAGATGTTTTAAATTGAATTTGATAAATTGTCCGATCCGAATGATTTAAGAAGTTGCTTCCCATTTTGTTCCATTCCGCGAAATAAAATGAAATCGCAACTTGTTGCTGTCTTATCCAATTCTCTTATCTGCTCGAAACTTGTACAGCGGTGCTCGTGCTGTTTGCTTATTTCACTTTTCAAAAGGAATACCCTCGAAGCTTTGTTTCTTATCTGAAACCAGTTTCAGAAACTTGTACTCATGATTTATGATAAACAATGGCGAAGAGAGATCCTTTTCGAATCGACCATTTTTAATTACACTTCGTAATACCTTATCCAGGCTTACCAACGTGTCTCAAAAAATCGGAGAAATTACACCTGGGGAAAAGATAATACAATAACCAATAATCGAGAATTATTCGAATTATTCTTTCGAGAGAGGAAGATTTCATTTCATCCCAGAAAAATGGAACAAAGAAAGAGCGAAAGAAGGAGGGGATACCAAGCAGAATGCTATCTGGAACAACGTTACACCTAAGCTAAAGATGAAAGACTGGCTACGAATTTTAAAATTGAATCTCGAATCCCGATTGTCATTCCCTGTTATATATACATCTCTCTTTCTTTGCATACCGTTCATCTGAATTTTCATATTGCCGTTTGCATGCTCTATTAAGCGCGCAATGCGATCGAACTTTTTGATCTCTCCTTCGATCCATCTCTCTTGTGCAGGCCAATTCGAAACCGAGGCGTTGTTTCCCGAGGAGATCGACGCGGTTGCCCTACATAATTTCCAACCGCTGTTCACTTGGTGGAATGTGGCCGTGTGACGACGGCCATTTTTCGCTTCAACGTGAAAATTTCTCTTATTCTTATTCCTCTCGTTGCTGGATTGTGTCCCATCCAATGGAAATTTATCTCCTTCGTTCTCTCTCTCATATTTCGCTTCGATTACCTTTTTTTTTTTTTATGGAGATACATTAATACTCACTTCAACAACCGATTTACTTTTATTTAAGATCCATATATATATATATATATATATATATATCCCTTATTCGCGTTTGATCTTTCCCTAAACTAAGTTGTTTGTTAGCTCGAATGCAGTAGAGAGACGAGTGGAAAGGGAAAATATTCAAAATGGCGCGGGAAGGGAAGTGAAATCGGAAAGTTAACGAGAAGCGGAGCATCGTGCGGGACGATCTCGTGACGATTCTGTTTTCAATTGCTAAAACTGACGTCACTACTTCTCGGCGAGTAACGGAACCGAGTCCGGTTCATCCCGTTTCCCTAACGATAAATTCGCTTCTTCTTATGCGCATTCGATCTTCGCGTATTTCCTTCGAATTCGTCGCGAAATTTCATTCGTCCACTCGGGAAGAATAATATTTTGAACAGGAATAACATTCGATTCGATTGAATTTTTTTTTTTTCCAAAGGAGAGTGAATTATTATTAATTTTCTAATCTCTTGTTCGAGGGGATTAATTAATCTGATTTCTTTGTTCTTTGGAATACTCACTTTGAATTGCGACCAGAAACTGGTGGGCCACTGCCAGGTATAGTCATCGTCCGCAGAACTGGCGCTGCTGCTGGCATGGCTTTGCGTGTCTAACCACAGCGTGCGACCTTCGTCTTCTTTCACTGTAAATCATGGACACGATGAAAGATGTGGCGGAGGGAGGGAACCTTCCCAACTTTTTCGAATTTATTATTATCTCAAAAACTCAACGCTCGAAAACTGTAAAGAGAATAAAGGATCGCGAAAGAGAGACAGAGGATTATTGCATATCCATTAAAAAAAATAATATCCCCTTTAATTAATCCTTGACAGGTTAATTGCACTATTGAAAACATTGAATTTCGAGCGGAGAATCTTTGATCGAGAAACTGATTGTCCGATTAATGGGCGAGCCACGCGTCGTCGAAAACTTGGTTGTAAAAATGGAAGAATCGAGCGATCACGATCGAGGGGAATAAGACGAGCAAAACGTGCGATCCATTTCGTGTCGGCCATGTTTTCTCCTCGACGCCCCCCTCCTCCTCCTCTCCGATCCTTCGATCGACCTTTGCACGCGAAAGGGAAGGGAAAAACGAGAAGAATCATCCCTCCCCCCTCCCCCCCCCTCAGCGAAAAATCCCCGTGTTATTGCTCGACAGTCCATTTATAAAACCGTTAATCAATCGACGCCTGGAGGAACGATTACGTTACAAATGATTCGCATTCGTTCGTGGATCGGAAATCCACGAATTCTAGAATAATCGGAAGAAAATACATTTGTGATGTAGTGTTATGCGTGCGTCTGGATTCGAATTAAAAGTCCATTTTTTATGAAAAAAAGAAAAAAGAAAATCATTTCCAATCCCAATTTGAAATTGACCGATGATTCGAAACGAGGGAAAAAAAAGGGGGAAAGAAAAATCGATCGAAAACTCGCAGACACGTTGACCCAGAAGCACCACCCAGAGAGATCCCTCCCCCTGGAGTTTTTTTAAGCTCAACTGAACCGGAACCGCAACCAACTCGATAACCCCTTGGCGCGTCTATGAACACCGGTCGTGCACTGTGCAATACCGTTGTGGCTGATGTGGTGCTCGTGATAATGGATCAGATGGTCGCAGAGCGGATGTTGGCTTGGATTGTAGTCCGGGCGAAGTTCCGGCGGGCAGTCAGGTCCCTGTCTCGCGTTCCTCGCCGCGGCAACGATGCGCTCCCGAACCTCTTCTGGCCCCTTTATTTGCTCCACTGTCAAAGGCGAGCAGGCGAAAGGAGGAAGGTGTTATTTTTGAAATGTTTTTTGAAGTAAATACGATTGGATAGATAAGTATTTTTACACGAATTTATTTATCGAGAAGATATTTTTAAATTTTCCCGCGAGCGGTTGGCGAAGAAGAAGAGTGGAAGAAAATCGATAAGGTTACTCACGTATAAAATCAGCGGGGTTGTAGTGGGGGAGCAGGGTGAGTCCGATCGTGGAGAAAAACCTGCCGATGTTTGCCGTGAGGCCGTAATACGCGACTTGGCCACGGCTCAGCAGCAGGATCTTGCTGAAACTGTGGAACATCCTCGAGCTGGGTTGATGCACTGTTATCACTATGCTCTTCCCCTCTTGTTCCGCGTACTTCTTCAGCCGTGAAATCAACGCCTGTGCCGAATGGGAGTCCAACCCGCTCGTTGGTTCCTGGTTAGTCCAATTTATATTATAATTCAGTTTGATACGTTTCATCTCGAGCAAATATCAAGATTAAATTCGAAACTTTATAATTATTCTAATTCTTCTACAAATACACGACAAGATATTGTTCGTGAACGTTTGGAGAAACTTACGTCGAGCAGCATAAGAGAAGGATTGGTAAGCAACTCGCAGGCTATGCTCGTCCTTTTCTTCTCGCCACCGGAGAGTCCTCGTTTCGTGTAATCTCCGATAACTGAAAAAAAAAAATAAAATAAATTAAACATAACACCAGCCTCGATATCTTCACTTCACAATTAATCAATGTATAATTGAACGTGATCTTCGATAATTCGCACAGAAAAATATTGGTGTTGGTGGTTTGATTCAGCATCGTGATTTTAAATCGAACGCGGGAAATCTTATTAGAAAGAATATCGTTTACAATTCTTTTTTATAAAAATTGAAATACAATAAAATTACAATTAAATGTTCAACACTTTTCCGCAAGGAGGACCGACGGGTTTCGAATCTATTCGAGAGAGAAAACTGTCGAGAGTATCCTCTTGAAAATTGTTTTCTCACGGTGGACAATGTATTGAGAATGAAAGTTGTTCTTGAAATTTTTAATGCGTTGTCCACTTTAAAAGAGAAATATGTTGTCAAGAGCAATTCTTGAAAGTTTCGTTCTTAAATAGATTAATTAATTTGTGCCCGCTTTCGTGAGTCCTTTGGGTGGTGGCGTACCCACGGACCTGAGCCAGACACGTTCGAAATAAAAAATAAATTTTGATCGGCGAAATTATTGAAAAACATTTACAAAATAATTATTTAAAATTTTTTCGATCGATTTCCCTCGAAATATCTCGCGTATAATAAATTAAAATTGCAAATTTTATATTTTCAATTCGATTGATTTATTGAGTAATTCGATGATAATTTTTTTTTTTAATAAAAAATTAGAAATTATTTTTAACAATTATACTCATCGAATTAAAGAAATCACTTTAATAAATCGATCCAATTATTCGTAGTTTTCGTATTTTCCAAAATATATATGTTAAATTAAGAAGAAGATCGAAAAAAAGAAACACAAAATTCCTTCTCATTTATAACAATATTTCCGCAACTGCCATCGATTTCATTTCCCTCGCCGAAATTAATCGAAACTCGATATAAATTCACCGGTTAATGAATGAAAATTCTCTCGTACCGCCGATTCTCTCTCCGATTGAAATGTAAAATTGCATTGTTCGATTTGTCTCGCGCTTCGTCGAACTCAAAAACGATTCGAAATTGGATTACGTACGTGACAAACCTGTGGCATTCTTGTACAAAGAAAGGAAAAAAAAAAGTAAGAAGATTTCGATCGATAAAGCTAATCAACGATGAAATACATAGGTCAAACCTTCTCTCCGTCAAAAGGAAAAAAAAAAAAGGAATAAACGAAGAAAAATGATTTTTCGCATGCATGGTTATATTCGTTGGATTGGTATCCAATAAAAGCATTATTCTCGTTATCGGAGATCGCTTTTCAGTTTCACCTTTCACTTTTTCATTGATTCAGTAATTTGGGATGGAAAATGAAAAAAAAAAAAAAAGGAAATACGATGCTCTTTTGTTCTTTCATATCGTAACTTTTTTTTGAATTCAAGTTTTATATTTCCAAATTTAATTTCAATTCTTCGTGTTCATTTTTAACGTTAGTTATTTTTTTTTTTTTTTTTTTGGAAATAGAAAATGATAAAATCTCTGTTTTCTGAAAAGTTTGTTGATGCGTTTGGAAAATTCTAAGATTTTTTTCCATTAGAAATACAGAATTTTAGTAAAAATTCATCGATTTTCAAATTTGTTATAGAATAAATGTTCCTAGATTCCATTGAAAAATGTAAAAAATTCATAAACGGACCTGATCGTTCAAACTATTCAGAAAACAATCGAATTTAATATCTAATCAATAGTTTCCGCTATTTGTATATCAAAAATTCACGAAACTATTTTCCATTCGCGAGATGGTACCAACTACCTGGTGAAATTGGGTCGAAAGTTATTCGATTTTCTCCCTAGAAGTAAATTTTTACGATTTCATTGGGGCATTCTATTTCGAATTAGTGCGGTTAAAAATATTTTCCTATCTTTAAAACTCCTATCTCAAATTTATAATACTATTTCGCATTTTCCTTCGTAATTATTAAATTTTATAAAATTAAAAAAGTAAAATATTTACAACATCACAATTAGTAGAACAATTATTTTTAACATTTTCGAATTCGACGATCCATCGAAACTGTGAACATTTCCCACAATTTCAAAAAAATCATCACTAAAAAAAAATCAAAATGGAAATCATCTTGATTAAACCTGCATATCTTAAAAGGATTTCAAAGAGTTTCCAAAGGGGACGGATATCGAAACGCCCGAAGAAACGTTCACGTTCCAAGCAACGTAACACTCGAGCACACGATAACAAACGATTCAACGAGCGTTTAACGGCGAAAGATGAATGAGTTACGATCCCGGAAACGGCGGATCGAAATCGCCGGAACAACGGCGACGTCTATGGCGCGACGACCATCGGCCCCCGTGGTTGTGGCCCGGTTGTTTCTTACCGGTGGAAGTCGTAAATTGCCACTGGCATCTCGCTCGCCGCCCATAAACAAATTACGGCGAATTTATACATGCTCGCGAGGCGAAAGATCGCCCTAGTTTCGCGATACCGAGCTATAGAAGCCGTTTTAATCTTATCGCTCGTTGCTGGAAAGTGAATATATAAGAGAAATTGGCGGGATCGTTAAACGATCTTGCAAGGGGATGTGGATAGAGTGAAATTATTTTCTACCTTCCTTATCTCTCTCCCGTTTCTCATTCACTTCGAATTATTTATATATTCGAACAAAAAATATGAACGAGTTTCAAAAAAATATATCTCTCATTAAATTATCAACAGCTCGAAGAACTTATCATCTTATATCGAATCGATGATGTAATATCATATCGTTCCAAATGGCGATCCATCGATCATAATATCATATATATATATATATATATATATATACTCACTGGTGTCTTGGCAGGTGGCGAGGTCGAGGACCTCGATGATATGATCCACGCACTGCATCTTCTGTGAGTGCGAGAACGTGTCCGGAAGCCTGAGCCTCGCCTGGTACTGAAACATACGCGAGCAGAAACATCGGATAAGATGAAAACAAACAACGAAAAAGAAGAGAAAAATTAAGGAGGGGGGAGGGGAGAAAAAGAAAGAGGAGCGGGAAAGAGGATCGAGGTTGGGTTGAATTGCGGCGAAAGCGAGAAACGGTGGTAGGGTTACGGTGGTGGTATGGCGGAATGGAAGATCGGTATCTCGGATGGAGTTTACGGAGAGCGGAGGGGAGGGGAGGGGAGGGGAGGGCCGCCTTTTAACCCAAGACACGGCCCCGTTTACGCATTAAACACGAATGTAAGCAAAACCCGGCGGCGTGGACGTGCATTTCCGTTTCGTAACATCCAGCCCACTTTGTGTCTATTATTACCATCTGACACGTACCCCCGGGGATGCATCGGCCCGCGATCGTTAATCGCGATCGTTAAATCAATTACGATAACGTTGCAACAGCCTCCCCCTCCCTCCCCCCTCCTCCTCCTCCTCCCCCTTGCGAAACCGACATTACGGTTTTTCGAGAAAGGGTTCGCTCCTTTTCTTTCTCTTTTCTCTCTCTCTCTCTCTCTCTTGCCGATCTCCGTTGATAGCGAAAAGAGAATTTAGAGAGAGAGAGAGAGAGAGAGGAATTTCGGGTTTCGCGCTCTCTTTCGATTCGTTTCAAATTTATCGAAGATTTCTTTGTTTGCTTTTATTCTCTTTTATTATCTGTTAATAAAAGAGATGATTGAATAGTAGAAGGGGAGAGGGATTTCTGTTCAAGGATTAAGTTAATCGTCCAAAAGGGGGGGGGGAGGGAGATTGTGTAAGGCAGGAAACCGCGAATCTTGTAGAGGAAGTTTCGTGTCACCGTGCCACACCTTCGTCGTTCGAAGAGCGCGACGAGGAACGACGGGGCCACCATCGTTGTTGAACGGCCGTGCACGTAGTGCCGTGGACTTTCCTCCTCGCCTCGAAACGCGTTCACGCGCGCGTGTTTGATAATTCGGGGACACGCGAGGCCAGGCCGTGTTGGAGCCGAAGGGAAACGTACGGTCGCTGTCGCCTTTGGAATTCCATCGCGGTTGAAATGGTTGATCCGCGGTCGCCGTGGAATTCACGCGGGGATATGACGTGAGAATAGGAAGTGGAAATTTGAATTTCTCTCCCTCGAAGCGTTATAGTTATTTTCTAGGGGGAATTTCTTGGTTTTATTGCTGGAATTGTGTTCCATGGATCTTTTTGGATCCTTTACTATTTTGTATCGAGGTAAAATTGTGTATAATCTAAAATTTCTATAATGCAATATCGGTACGTTGCATGGAAGATTGGAAGCTGTTGTTTTATTATTACTTTATATGTTAAAAATCATCCAAGATATCCAAAATATTTTGGTACTTTGGTTCGTTTTAAAAAATCGATTTAAAAAGAGTTCCACGAATAATATTTACACCGTGTATATATTTTGAGCAATTTGTCGCACGCATAAATCTGTCAATTAAAATGGATCGTTTCTCGCCCCTGTCGATTACGTCGACTAATATTTCTGGTCGAATGGATGGCTGGAATCAGGCGCTTCAATGGTGGGCTTTTAAAATTCTATTATGTGACTGATTAATAGTTCCACTTAATCATTCGAGGAAAGTATGCGCAACTATATAAAACGGCCGATAATGGCTCTCGACGCGGTTGGTTAAGTTAAATCAATGTAAAACAGCCAATTAAACAGCCCATTGTTTCCTAGCCGCCTATTTGAAATTCCACTCGAACGAAACCATTAAGCTGCTTAATGAAAGGAAATTCGATTCTCTCGTCTCCCGCCATTTTGCCGGATCCGCGCATGCGCCTCGCCGCCCGCCAAATTTACGCTTTTTTTTAAACGAACTTGTTCAAAGTTTCTCCAATTTTATCGAGTAATCGAAAAATTAAACCGTAGAGTAATGGATAAAAACGTTTAACGTTTATACAAAGTGAAATAAACAGGGGATACGATATAAAGTTTGAAAGAATATATATATATATATATAATCGCGTAAGAAATTTCCATTTAATTTGACAAAAAAGTACATGCATATATCAACTATACTCGAGAAAAAGTATTTATATATCTTTTTTTTTTTTTTATATAAATACCACAAATTTACAGTTTACAAATTTCTCTCGTGTAAATAATTCTATCAATACGATATTATAATTTTACGCAGGACACGCTCGTTAAATAAAAAATAAATTCTCGGAATCCTTATTAAAAAAATCTCTTTTCAACCCGTTTCAACGAAACCGGCAATTTCTCCTCGGTCATGTCGGTTCGTCACGCGCCGGCGATCGATTCGAATCGTGTGCACGGGGCTTAAGGCGAATCCCGCCGCGGTCGACACACCCTGCCTTGGCCGCCGCGGACGAACGTGCCATTTTCTCGACAGCCGGGAGTCCGTTACACAAGAGGATCCGTTATGCGGAGAGAGAAAGTGGCGGCCGACGATATTTCGCTGCGGGTATATAGCGGTCGTCTCTCTCGGCCAGCAGGAAACTGGACCGCTCCAGAACGGAGCTCTCACGACCGTGAACGTCATCTCCGCCGGCTGGTTTACACCGCGACGACGACCACGACGACGTGCTACCTATCACGACGCGGTGAAAAGGGAAAGTGAAACGATTCGTAGAACGGCTTTTCGAGGAATTTGTTCGAGTGTACAGTCGATCGAAAATATATTAGATTCGAGGGGGAAGATGGCGGAGGGAAGATGGAAATAATTTTAATTATTCGGTTATTGGGAATATTTAAGTAGGTTGGATTGGATTATTAAGTCTATTGTTTAACACAAAAATTTCTGAACAGATTTTTTGATTATTCGGGAAAAGATACGTGCAAATGTTCTTATGGAGAATTAAAGAATTAATTAAAGTTTGTTAAAGATTTTGGTATTAGTGGTGTAAAAATGAAATTTTTTTCGATCGAGATAATATATTAACGGCAAGGTAGTTCGTCGATTTACACTTTCAAACTTGAGATGAGAATAAGACAATGATAGGAGAATAAAACAAGAAAATAGAAAGGCAGAGAGGCAGAGAGACGCGTATACGAAAAGTGATAACGGGTTGGAAAGCGTGTACGTTATCACCGGTAAAACTTTCGTGTTCCATCGAAGGGAAGGAGGAAATCGAGAGGCGGCTACGAAAGGAAACCCGCTTAACGGTTAAGAAACTGGCCAGGTGAGCAAAAAAACACGTGAACGGAAACGGAGAGAACAATGCACCGCTGGCGGGAGAAATGAAAAGCTGGCCGAAGGCTGAGAAACTGAAAATTGGGACGAACTGTCGTTAAAAGAAAACTGCGCAGAAAACGAGTGGAAAAGGAGAACGACCACTATTATATTATACCGAGTGTCTCGCTGTTATGAATCTCTTAAAATCAAAGACAAATTTTTACCAATCCTCGTTAAAATTTCTTCGATGGTAATAACGGACATTCGAGACATTCTTTTATACTAAATATTTTTACTCGCTTTTTCATTTTCACAAGTGAGAAGAATCGTCACTTCTCTCAGCAAAGAGAATATCACGCCGTGTACAGAGAAGAACGGTGTAAAGGCGCGTCCATAAGTGCGCGGTGACAGGGGGCACCGTCGCGATGGAGCGAGAGAAAGGCACGAAGAAGAAATACGAGAGCCCGCGAAAAGAAAACAACGTGACACGTTGGGGAGAAAGGGGGAGAAAGAGAGGAGCGATGGCAGCTTTAGCGTATTATGCACGTAGGGAGACGGCGCCGAATGTTTTTGAAACACGTAAGACACGCGCTCCGACGGTTCACTGACCGAGTTATGACGTCACCACAACTCTCTCCCCGTCTTTCCTTCTCTCGTTTTTTTTTTTTTTTCCTCTTTCTACCACCCTCTATTTGTCACGGGGCGACTCCTGTCCCCCTTGCCGTATAATCGAGAGAGGCCAACGTCCTGTTGGATCGGTTCATGTGTCGCACATGCACTGGGGGACATGTAATGTATTTACGATCCGTGCATCGATACGATATGATGAATTTCTTTCGATCTTTCTCGCTCTTTCTAGGAGATATTTTACTTTGGGTGATTTCGTTGAAAAGTTAGTCAAAGTGTATGTAAGTATTTTTGGTAACGAATAATAGTTTGATAGGGATATCGATAGGGACTTTTCGTAATTTTTTTTTTGGAGAAATTTTATCGTGATTTTGATTCTATCTAGGGACTTTTTAGTATCGGTTAGATAGAGGGTAATTTTAAAAAAGATGAAAAAAGAATCGAGGATGCAAAAATTTGAAAAGTATTTAAATAATGGTACAAATTCCTTTTTTTCATAAATTTGCTAATATAAATTTCCCCACAATTTATTCTTTCGCTATTTCAAAACACGTGAAATACTAAAACCGAGTCTCCTCGAGTATTCCCTATTTATACCATGGAAACTAACCTCAAAAGTTAATCCGCCATATTTCTCAACACCCTCCAAAAACATCTCGCTCAAAGCTAAACATCCTTTTTAATGCCAAAACCTGACAAGGAATAAACTTTGCCAATTCGTTAATGGGTGGCTCCTTCTTGCGCGTTAAATTCGCGAGAATGGTACGCGTCGTTGTTTGGCTCCTGGCCCGCATTCCATGCGATCCCAAGCTCGAGGTCTCCTCCTAATTTTCTACCGTGAACTTTAATAAATTTCGCGCGGAACTTGGCACACACTGGGGCTCGTGGCCGATTTCCACGGAAATACGAGGAAACACCAGAATCGGCCGCTTCCTGTTCAGAAACGAGTAAAATTTTTAACGATTTTAAATTAAGAATCACGATTGAACAATTTATCGTTCGATCTATATATCAACCGTAGTAGCACCGAATTATTCGAGGTTACAAGAAAAAATTATACGTATAATTATATACGTACGAATTCGAGCATATTTTAATGAAGTTAACTTTATTCCAATCAAATTAATTTAATCTCATTAATTTTTCATTAATTTTTTTTTAATTTCCGCCTCTATTTCGCCAACCGCCCCCGTGAGCTCACAAGTCTAGCGCGTCTGACTATGCCGGTCCGCTTCTACTTGCGCGTCTGCATTGCCACGTAAATATGGAGGATTTACGAGTTTCGTCGGCGATGAGGCGTTTCATTTTTGCGCGGTCGGTGATTATTCCTTAGCTCAAATGTTCCGTTGGACTATTTTTTTTTATTCTTCTACGTACGTAACGATCGAACGTTGAACCTTTCTCGAATCTCTCTCTCCTCCTTTCTCTTTATAAAACATGTATAAAACTTTTTAACACGCTCAGGAATGTAGTAAGATTTTAACGGTTGAATAATTTATAATATTCATATTCAGGGTATACGATCGAATAAGTTAATTGTAGCATCGAATTATTTTGAGATTATACGAAGAGTATAGGCAATTATTGTTATTCAGGTATTCAGGTATTAATTGATTGATTAACTTTTCTTCTTTTCTTTTTGATTCTTTCTCGTTCGACAATTTTTTGTGAATATTAATTCATCCTCGTCAAATTTAAATTGAATCTTTTCGAGTTAATTAAATATCGATACCGTAATAATTTACAAACTATAAGAAAAAAATTAAGATTTACATTTAATCATCGGTAGAATTATTATTCGATCGTATAATGTTCATCGATACGGATCCAATTAAAGAGATTTATTTAATCGAATTTCGCTCGAGCGTGGCGAAATTTTATTGTAGAAATTCTATTAAACAAACGGTCATCGAATTTTATCGGAATCCATCGGACGGAGATTTTTTTTTTCGGGGTCCATTGTTTTATGACATGGCCGTAGCTAGAGAAATGGACCAATTTTTTTTTTTTTTTTTCACGCGCGTGTAATGGCGTTCATGGATGCAAATTCGATGGGTTGTACGACTGGGATCGGTCTCGTTTAATGGGGAACCCGTTTTCATCGGTTTTATCGTTCGATGGTAGGAATTTATCGGCCCGTATTATCATGCGGAGGAAAATATTTCGACTTTTGCCATTTGATGAGAACGGTTTTATGGAAATTATTCTCGTTTTACGAGAAAAGATTTCGTCACGGACACGACAAGTAAATAAATATCAATTTCTTTTCTTCTTTCTATTTGATTATTTTTTTTTTTTTTTTTTTTTTTTTACCCCCAAATTCTCGTAGTACTGGCCATTATTTAAATTTACGTTTCTTTAATATTTTTGATTGAAATTGAATTCGATTGAATTGTTCGAAACTTTATATTTTATGATGTATATATAATTTTCTAAAATGAAAGATAAAAAAAAGTCTTACCTCGAGTGTCTGTCGTAACGTGAGATCGGGAAAGAAAACGTCCTGCTGTTGCACGTAACAGATTCTTCTGCGCCATCTTTTTGTCAACCTTTCACGATTCAGCCAGATTTCACCCCCGTCCAAGCCCACGCGGCCTGACAGGCAGTTCAATAACGTCGTTTTGCCGCAACCTGTTCGACCAATAAATAACTCGTCGTAAGTTTTATAATTAAAAACATTTTATTCAAATTAAAAATCATATTATCATATCCCTCTTCAAAATTTATATTTTCTCATTTCAAATACAATACACACAAAAGAAACGGATTTACATAAAAATAAAAAAAAAAAATCTGAAAATCAAACATACCCTTAAAAAAATCTCGCGATCGTCGCCAATCAGGAATCCATCCTGATTAAAGTAAAGTAAAGAACGAGAGTGGAAGAAAATCCTTTGGAAAGGATAGATAGAACCCTGTTGTAGAACCCTCCCGATTCAATGGTGGAAAGGGAGAGGTGGGGGAGGGGTAGAAAGTGGCGCCTCCAGAGGTATACCGGAATAGGGTACCATCTCGTTCCTAGAATCGTCGTCGTTCGGCCAAAGATATACGGCTTTGGACGGTGGAAATACGCTCGCGTGCCCGTTCCCGAGGGACGTTTTAACGACACACAAAACCGTGAACGAACGAGAAAGGGCGAGAGAGCGCTCGATGATTTGTACTCGCGTGTAACCCCTTGCTTTGCGCGCTTGCTTGTTAAACGAATATCGAGGAGGAGGAGAGGGAGGGAGGACGACGAATCTCTCGAGATAAATATCGCTCGTTACCGTCCGCGGATACCGGCAGGCTTCGTGCTTCGTCGCGGTTAAACATAGAAGAGTAACCGGACTTGGGATCCATCCTGGGGAATCCTGGGAGAATCGATTCGATACATTCGAAGACGTTCGTTGTTTACACAGAGGGGATCTCAATTTTCGAAATTTGATTTCTCTGTATTTTTGATTGGATTTTTGTAACTCTTTTCTTTTTTTTTTTTTTTTTTTTTTTTTTTTTTTTCTTTTTATTTAGTGTATTATAGTAGTTTGGATTATTATTTCTTGTTAAGTGGCCGTTTGTCAAGCGTCCTTGTTTGAAGAAGTTTGAATATTTAAATAAATAATAATGTGTAGCGTAGATGGAAAATTTTCAAAGATTCTTCGAAGATCAAGGAATCTCTGGCTAGGGTTCCAAATCATATCTTCAAAAAAAGAAAAGAAAATAAAAATCTACTATCTATAAATCTACGTATTGATTTCTCTATATTTTTGATTGGATTTTTGTAACTCTTTTCTTTTTTTTCTTGCTTGAAAAAGTTTGAATATTTAAGTAAATAATAATGTGACAGGTAGAAAGTTTTCACTTTCTTTCCTTCAAATATAAAGGAATCCCTGGCTAGGGTTCCAAATCATATCTTCAAAAAAAGAAAAGAAATAAAAATCTACTATCTATAAATCATCGATTGTTCGATCGATTGTCGTCAATGTTTCACTTCTCCACATATTTTTTTATTTTTCTTTCCATCGTTCGATGAACAAGCTCACATAATAATGATAAAACTTATCCAATCTACCGACGTGTATAACAACGAATCATTCGAATTTTTCGGGGCCCGTGTTCTCGAGGCTAATTGACCGTTTGTTCCGCGGCGAATTCTCGCGAATGCTGATGACTCGATCGTATTTCCATGCCCCCTCCTCCCCTCCGCCGGACAATTTCGCGTCAGTTTGCGTCATTCGTTTATTTCGCGGCCTCCTCCTCCTCCACCTCCTCCTCGTTTTGGCTGTGTCCCGCGCTCGTAACTCGTCCGTCCTTTCCCCCTCGAGATCTATTTGGGAACCGGGTTGAACCGCGTTTCGCAACGATGTTCATCAACGATGACTTGTTTCATCCGCGAAGGACTTAGTACGAATTTAGCATCGTGCTTCACTTTTTTTCTCGCCACTTGTGTGCACGCGGCGGTTTAAATTACGATTACCATCTCTCGTGATGTAAATTGTCTCTTTTCTCGAAGTTTCAAAGTTTCAAAGCGATTTCTTTTTCAAAAAATATTAGGATCGTCGACAGATTTCTTGGAAATATCCAAATTCTACTATTCTCTCGTCTCTTTAACTCGTCTCAACCCCTTGAAACCACTTGCGCGCTCTGCCAAGTGGAAGATCCACGTTGCCGGGGAACGAAAGATGAAATGAAATATACGATACCCAAATCCTTCTCCCCGACGGGAGACTTTATCTCCGAATCGAATCAATTCCCGTTCCAAAAGGGGATAAACTATTGAACCTTCACCCCTCTCCGGAGACCAATCCGTCGAAGGATTATCTTTCGAAGGGGGAGGAGAAGAAGGAGGAGGAGGAGAAGGAGGAGAAGGATTCTTAATTTCGCGAAATCGTCTTACCTGAGGGGCCCATGACGGCCAAAAGTTCGCCGGGTTTAACAACGCCCGAGACATCCCGGAGGAGGGATCGTTTCTCCTTGACCACCTGCAACCCCCGGAAGATTAGCTGCACCGGACGAGAATCCAGCGGGTACACCAACTGCAACGCTGAGCTTTCCACTCTGGAACAAACCAACGTCCGATTTAGAATTTCCTTTCATTTTCCCTTCTTCGAATCTTTTAATTTTAATTCGATCGATAATTGAATATTGGATTGAATTGAATTTCGAGTAAATACTGCGATTCGTGCGAATGTATATATATATATATATATATAGAATTATAAAAAGTTTAGAAAGATCGATGTTGTTATTTCGATTTGGAAAGAAAAGTTTTTTGTTTTATTTAATTAGAAATTAGGAAAGATCGTGCGATATGAGAAAGAATGATATTACCAGGGAGGAATTTGTATAAAAAATATTCGATCGTGGGAAGGGCTTCGTCTCGAAAATATTCAACGCGCCCGTAATCTCCGCATAAATCTACAATCGCGAACAATTTCGAAACTATTTAACGTATTCCAGCTGGCTGGGCAACCATCTGACAAACACTCGCCTCCATAATAACAATGACGTGCCATCGAAGTTATTTCGCGACAGCAATTAAAGACCGACACCACGAAACGGACTGAAAGATCTGGCTCGCTTTCAAATTAAATCTCCTTCCTTTCTCTCTCTTTCTCTCTCTCTCTTTCCATCGAAAAGAGCAAGAATCGAATTAATCTCTTCCATGAAAGTGTGTCGAATAATCGATTGTTGGCAAATCGTTTTACAAAATCTTTCGAAAATTTATTTAACGTATATAGAATTATCGAGTGGAATTCACTGGTTTGTTCGGATGATTTGACACGATTCCATTCGTTCCAATCGTTTAATTCTTTGCATAACGTGTGCAGTAGAACAAATTAGATTAGAAGTCAGGTACAGAGTAAGCAATCTAACGCGAGTTTAATTATTCTTCTGTTAGCTTGTTTTGAAATAGTATTAGTTTTTTTCTTTAGCTATTATTTCAATCACTAACAAATTATCGAGTAGGAATTTAATGACTCTTCTTTTCAAAATTTCATAATATTCTTATATAAATTCTTATATAAATCTATAAATATTCTTATATTTATAGAAGAGATAATCTCTTCTCTGGAAGAGGGAAAGAAAAACGTTGACAATTATCCACGAAAGAGGAGGGGGAGGAAAGAAATATATGTAAATTGTATACAGATTCTTCTTTCGATCGAAATGAAAATTCAATATCTGTCTATTCGGTTTCAATGGAAAATCACCGGCAGAGATTTCAACGAGTGTAAAAACGAGGATCATCCAGTTGTTACTCGGCAAAAAGTCTGTTTCGCAACGTGTCACGATGTTCGTCGTGGAGAAAGGCAAAGAAAGAGACGACTTAGGACGTCTATACGTCTAACAGCTGTGCCTCAGTGGATTCTTTGATAAAAAACCCTTCCAAAGTGAAATTGATTAATCTATTAACTGTTTGTAACACCATGTGGCTTGGAAATCATAAGCAGATGTATCTTTATTTTTTAAAAAAAAAAAAAAAATCGTAATCATCGATTTGGAAACACAGGAGAAGACCTATTAACAGATTTAATAAAATGGAAATGATCGTTCTATTGCATTTCACCAGTATTACATCGTACCATCGTATTTTCAACAATTACTAAATCAATTATTCAAATTATTCATCCTCCTCTCGTAAAAATTTCAACACGTAACCACTTCGATCCCTTTCACTTTCACATTTAAAAATCCATTTTACAAATCTATTCTACATTAATCGAAATTAAACATGGTATATCCTTCCCTTGTTATTAATTTCTCAATTCCTTCATCCGAGGAAATGTTTAACGAAGAAACGATCCAATTTGACGTAAACGTTTGAATCGTTGCAACGATAATTATTTCTATTCAACGACTGGCGAACGAAATTATTTCGTGACGATTTCAATTATTTTTTGGTTTCTTTTTTCTTTTTTTTTTTTTTTAAATAAAAGACGCGAGTCGATTTCGTAATCGCCAGCCACTTGTCTTCCGCCCGGAGGAGAAAAGTGGAGAGGATCGAAGAATAACGGATCGTGTTTCTCTCGATTAAAAATGATCGTACTTCGGAGGGAAGAAATTGCACGATCCTCGTATTAATCTCAATTATATTGTCAAACCTGTGCATGTCGTAATATGTTCGTATCGGGCAAAAGTTCGATTCCAATTGGAAAAGATGTCGATCGTGGAGTATAATCGACGTTTCTTTCGATTAAAGTTTCTTTTGATTGGCAGATTAAGCCATTCGATTAGTTCAATATCGTTCTTTAGATCCTTTTTTTTTTTTTTTATCGAATCGAATAAATGGGAAAAGTTGTGCGTGAAATGATTTTTGCAATAGAATGTTTTAATAATTTTTAATTGTCGACGGATGAAAGATGGTTTTAATTATTTTTAACGAATTGTACGCACAACGATTGCTATTATAAAGTGAACGTTACGGAAGAATGGATATCAAGTTTCTGTCCCTCGCGTACAATTTTTGACGAGTTTCATTCGCGTGATCGGTTTAAATTGTTTTATGATCGTTTTCGAGAAGTCAATTTATTTCTTTCATTAAAATTTCTCCGGTAAATTGAACTTCCGTTCGTGGCGGTCTCGATTGTCTCGACGACGATTCATTTCGATGCAAAATTACTTGGAAGTTGAACGGTTTCGAAGATGAGAAAGTATCGTGCACACGGTACTTGGAATCGAAACTTCTTCCTGGGGGAGAAGACCAATCGAAACTTTCCTTTCCTCCTATCTCAATCTCGATTAGACACTTTTAAAACTCTATATTATATTTAATAGAGAAAAGGATTTTTAAAAATTTTTTCAATGTTAAAACCTATCTTCAATAATAAAAAAAAAAGATACTACCAGAGAAAATAAAATTCAAAATTCAAGATATATAAATAATTTCTCGGATAAAAGAAAATCGGCTCGAAGCTGATTCCTTCTCCTCTCTCGAACGATATCTAACGAGAGAGTCCTTGTCCTTTCCGCTCGAAAATAATTTTCCAACAAAGTGCAAAAACGAAACCAGTATAACCAGGCCGAGGATCGATAGAAATCCCCCGTGAAACGGCGAGAAACGCGGCGGGGAACAGCTTTCGATCCGTTGGATCGGCTTTCAGTCGGCTCTGGGATGTTTTGCGACTCGATCAGGGACAGGAAAACGATTTCTGCAAGGCCGTTCGAAAGCTGCGCATGCGCCGCCGCGTACACTCATGGCCGTCAATTAAGGCGGACTGGGAACATCTTCACTGGCGCGAGCCCATATAAAGGCGCGCGACTTTCGAATGGGTTTTCAAGGAGAATAGGAAAGCCTGGCCTCTCTCGTAAGAGAGGGAAGTGAATCGTTCGCGAAGTGGACGAACTCATTTTGGAAACGTGGCGTTCATTTTATCATCTGTCTGGGTTAACGTATTAAGTTTTTGATCGGACGTAAAATTTATTTATAGGCGAAATGAAATAATTCGAACTTTTATAAAGAACGCTCGACTGGGGATAACTCTTAAGGGATAACTCTTTATGGAAATATTATGTAACGAGAGAGTATATGCATATTCTCTAGTCTATAAATAAAAAATATTTGAACAAAGCAATTCGACGATGGCGCCACAATTATCGCGGATAAGAGAGATAAACGAAACACGACTCTGCTCGTGATAATATATCGTGATAAATATAAACTGTTTACGAGTAACACGAGCATTTCCTAGTAAATATCGGACTACCATTCATTTTTACACCTGCACTAGATAGAATTTCAATCGCGAATTTTTCAAAGAGAAGATCTTTATTCGTGTTTCATATAAACAAAACGTCAACGACCTCGTGTATAAATATTATATATATATATTTGTATGGAATGTTTAATTAAAAACCGGTAATACGACATTAGACGTTCGATTGGAATTGTGTGTAACGTATAAAGTTACTAATTAACCGAGAAATATTACATGCTGGTGGAAAAGATTCCCTTGCATTAGTGGAATTCATTGCGTTACGAATAACCACGTGTTTAAAGGTCAAAGATTCTTCGCCGAGAAGAAACTTTGTGAATCTGTATTAAATTACGCGAAGATATTGCGAAATGTAATGCAATACGTCGCTGATACCTTTATTAAATTAGAAAAGATTTAAAAAAAGAAAAATTAGGACGATTTTTAAATATAAAAATTCACTATGTCATCCACTCTTCTTCCCTCATTATATTATCACTTCGATCCACATCGTTCGATGATTCATTCTATCCAATCTCCCACACCCTCAACAAACCCACTCATAAATTTGAATTAAATTTCCCCTCTCAAGAGAAAATACACATCCCCCTCTTTTGTCAACCAAAATTATATCCACAAATCTAATTTTATCTCAATCTATTCACATATCAAAAACTCGATTCATTACACATCCAGAAAATTCTAAATCCACCCAAAACTAAAATAATAATAATACTTGAATAATTATTCCCATACTTTATCAATCAAAAAATCTCTCTATCCAAACCAAAAATCACCAACCAACCGACGTCACTCTCTCCCTCCCTTCCTCCATTTTCAAATTCCAAAGAAAAAGGGAAGAAAATTGGACGAACCTAGAATCCGCCACCGTATCCGTTTCGCCGTATCCTGGTACCGTTGGAAAATGCACGCACGCACGCACGCACGCAGAGACGATCCACCACGCGCCGCCACGTGGTTGCCAACGTCCACGCGTTCCAAGACGATCCTCCCCCGTCGGAATCGGAAACGAACTAAAGAACGAGGAGCGGAGTGCCGGCCGCGTCGCGATACACAAAAAGCGAAGAGGGGTCGTTGGACAACCAGAGAAGTCAGATAATAAATTCCCAACATGGCAGTATCACGTCATCATCCCGGGTTCGTTGAACCTCGTCGGTCGGCGAAGCGACGAGGGGATCCTGTGAAAAGGGGGAGGGAGGGAAGAGGGGGGGGGGGGGGGAAAGGGAACGATGTCGTGTTTCGTGACACTTATCGACGCGTAACCCAGAGAGTTAAGCAAACTCTCCGAACTTTTTTTCACGAAATCCTTCGGCCTCGTCCCGACTGGGCAAAACCACCCCC